CCCAAAGCCTAGACTTAAATTTGCCCAGTCAGCCACGGGTTCAAGAATGTGACTCTTTGACTGGCCCAAAACAGCTGAGACCCACCATCAAAACGACAGTTGCGTTCGTCAGGTGCATCGAGTTCCCCGCAAGAAAGTGGGATCTAGTGGGGTCAATGCTTGGCATGACTGTTGTCATCATCTCCTCCGCGAGCCCTTGATTGACGGGCCACCCAAGTGCAGCAAGCTTTTCTTGACCTGTCAAGAATTTCATTCCACGTCGAAAAAGATATTTGCCCGTATTCTTGCGGAAGGTTGGCAAAGCTCGGCTGGATGCACTCCAGGTGCGGGAAAATGAAGCGTTGTCGCCCAAGAAGTACACGAGGCCAGGGTCAAGGGCTGGGTGGCGATGGAACTTGGAGATGTAGGCGAAGTCCAGCTGCCGAACCAGCAGCAATTCTCGCTCGTTCAGCAAATACTCCACCGAAGGATTCGCCTAAGATGCTTTGTCACTGGCTGGTGAATCAGAATTGTACGACAGAACTAGCTTGGCTCATTGGGTGTTTTCTTGCGTTAAGACTTGAAAATCTTGGAATGGTCCATGACCCGAATGCAGGAATTAACAAGCTTGCAGTCAAAGCGCATGTTGATACACCTTCTTTCTTGTTCTGGCCATGTGCATCTCATCTGCAGCACGGGTCAGCGCAGTTGAGACCATATAGTCCTCGGGCTGCGTTCTAGCCACCTTCCGGATTTCCTTGGAAATGTTGCTGTAAAGCTCAAACACATCGTGCAAGTACTCCAGCTTTCGCCAGTCATACAGGTAGATGTAAGTTCTGGCGCGGGCTACTCCAGAATGCCCGACATCCTCTGGCGTGACAAAAAGCTGCAGCATTCTGTACTCCGGCATGAACAGCTGCTCAATCTCGTTTGATTTGATGTCCTGACTGAAAGAAGTACCGACACAAGTCACAATCAAGTCTTAGTTACTGAGTTCGGTTCGATGGGCAAGATACTTACCTAACACACTACAAAAATAAATGCGGATGGTTGCTGGCATGTTCAAAACTGGTGACGACTGAGCAAGAATGAATGTTACTAGGGCCGCCCGGTTGCTGGTGTGTTCTCAAGAATCAGCAAAGGAGTACCCATCGTTTTGTGGTACTTGCTCCAGCTCAAGTAGCAGCCGTTGAACCGGCCCTCGAAGAATTTACGCTTGTGGTTGGCCTTGCTGTTGTCCTCACAAGGGAGGCCGCTGAAATCCACGTCAATCTGCCGCCTGAGTCGGCAAGGGGCTCCGTGGGTGTGACAGAACTGAAGTGTTTGCAGTGGAGCTTTGTTGACTTTTTGCGTCTTGCACGCAAAGTCATCCCCATCAGAAAGTAGGTCTGCTGGAAGCTGCTCCAGCATGTCTCCAAAAACATGTGGGCACTGTTTGTAAGTGCCCACCCACTGGTTGACCCAACGCGCGTGCTCAAAGATCACCTGACGAGCTCGTGCACTGATCTCCTTGTTTGAGGTGTGACTAACCAAATACTCTCAAGGTGAATGAGTGTTCGGGGCTTTGGTGGGCACCGAACGAAAAATATGCTATGATATGGTCAACTGGCATGGCACTGCATGCTCTGCAGGTTGACACGCAGACCCTCTACCAGCTGTGTCTCATTGACCGTCTTCTCCAACAAGGCCGCGCCGACCTCGACAGTGAAGACCCCAGTGCAAGAAGAAGACATTGTTCTTGCCGTCGCCAACAGCGATGCCTTGGCAAGCATTTGGCATTGTGGCTAGTGGGACCTTGTCGTGACTGACACCTCTCATTCTTATTTCTAGATAGAAAGCCTGCTCACACCCAAAATGGAACACGTGGGGACCTCCAATCCAAAAGGTTGGTTGGTGCAGCCTTGTAACTCGCAGCACTGGCTTTGGGATGTCAGCCACGCAGACTTCCCACGCCATTCGGACAGCACGGGCTGCAACAGTAAGTCTAGTGTCATCAGCCCTCACCTCAGAAAGTCAGGCATTGCTGCAGTGTTCTTCACCCTGCCATGAGAACGAAATCACCAGGCGACCTGGAAAACGCCGTTGTTTTTTGTTGCTTCCAAAAACAAAACTTATGTTGTAACAGTCCATTTGCGAGTGGTGAAAACCAGCGAAACCAACATAACATAAACACAGACGAGATGCCTCAAAAGGCTCAGCAGATAGCACTGAACTGGCGCAAGTCTGTTGCGTGGGCACTGGCACATTCTCAGCGCCACTCGCGCTTGCCCCTGTTGCTGTCCTTCGTGACAGCGACATCATGAGGCTCTCTGACATGGCAGCTGAGCGAGGCAAAGCTAGATGGAAAATGGCGCTGGCTGCTCCGCAGTGTTATTCTGGCAGGGCTCTCCGGTTTCTTGCTGATGATTTCTGAGCTGTGTGTGATTCTGATCTGTTCTGACAAAGCCCTCTTAGAGCCCGAGCCCTTTGGCAATTGGTTCAGAACAACTGGTCAGCTGTTGATACATCAAGCTGGTGACAGGCAATCGCACTGCTCGTGCTGAGTGTAGGGCCAAAGGAGGTGAGTAGGCAGCGACGCCCAACCGGGGCGCCACCACAAAGAACAATTCTGTTGGCTGGGAGCCAACATCGGATCCATCAAAGAGAACCTCAGGGTCAGGCTTTTGCAGGGAACACATTGAGTAAACTGAGTAAGCAACTTGTCATGGTACTGTCAATTCCAAGCAGCCTTCAGGTGTTGTTCCCCCTCAAGCTCAGTGCGGAAACGGGCCAGCGCGTTCACCTTGGTAAGACGCTAGCAAAATAATGCGACATGCTGCGCCGTAAGTGTGAATGATAACAAACCTGTTCACCGGGGCCACACCAAGAAGCCAAGTGACGCAAACCCGAAAAGCAGCTGATGGCACAGAGATCTTTCCAGCACCAATGCGCTTCAAAGCACTGCCCAGGTACCGTTCCTCAGGCTAGGTCATCTGAATGAAGCAAGCGCTGATCTTGGGTTACAGGAACAAATGCGAAGGCAAACCCAAAAAAAGTTCACTGTTTGAGCCACGGGTCTTCCTTGCTGAGAATCAGTTCCATTGCTTGCGCCACAAACGACCATTTGACGTGCTTCGCCAAGCGCGTCCCACGCGACCCAAGTTTGGCATTGGTAACAGGAACGGTCAGAAAACGCACATGGGTTTCCATGAGAAGCGCCAATTGTGAGAGAATTGAAAGGGCACATCTCTCCAACACTTGCCTTGCCCATAAAATAGGCGCATTGTCCTTCTTCCGAATCCAGGGGGGGAAGTCCAAGGCAAACCCAATGAAATCCGCAAGGTGTATTTGACCTTCTCCCGGAAAGCAGGTTACCCAGGGCTTCGTGGTTGATTGCAAATCCGTCATCCAAGTGAACTGCAGGAACCGGTTGAAGAACTCAGCTTTCCAGGGCGCGCACGCACACGGGGTTGAGAGACGCTGGGTTGACCACGACATTTGGCCGTGCTCATCGCAATGGAGAAACTCAAGCGTTGGTTTGAGCACACTGAGCTTGTCAATGGCCGACTTGAAGAAATCATAGGACATCTTGCGGTGAGCAGGGTTCCTCTTCTCAAAGCTGACCATGTGTGTAGCATATCCGAACAACAAACTTGTTGGCATGGCCCCCTCTGTAAGTTCGGGGCGCAACGACTCATGTCCTTCAACCTCATTCACAAAGCCTGGTGCCTGCATTCCTGGCCAAATTTTTGCATGGCAATCTTGAGCCCGTTGCAATTGTCCCCTCAATGTTTTCCTGGATTGCTTTGAATTTTCACTGCTGAAGAAGTTGCTTGCGACCCCGTTCACGAACCACAGGGACTGCGCAGCTTGCCCATCTGGTGGGAGAAGTACTTGAATTGATCTTGACTTGGAATGGGGCCCATCAAGGAAATACGTGCCTGAGCCAATCAATCAGCACATCAGGTGGTTTGACAATCGACTCAGGACCACATGCTCACATGCCTTTCATTGATAACAAGACTGGCTGCTTATCTGGTAAGATCAAACGTATGCGCGGCCAAGAAACGATAGTCATCCATTCCGGTGCATTTCTCGTGATCATCATCATCGTCAGCGCCATCATTCACTTCCATGGCAGCTGACGGCCGAGGAAAAACTTTACAATGATTGGATTTAATGTTCGGCAACACTCAACACTCTGGTTGGCTGAGGCATCCTTAAACCCAACATATGACATACTTGGAGTGAAATCCCAATGATCTCGGTAACGCCCTTGCTGAGCTCACTAAGGCTCTGAACATCAACCTTTCTCAATTGCGCTCTCTAAGGCTTACTAAGCCTTACTAAGCCTTACTAAGCCTTACTAAGACTTGCTAAGCTTCACTGAGCTTCAAATGGCAAAAGTGCACGAATCCCGAAATTTGACCCCCCCCCCCCTGACCCCTCCCCCTTAGCACCCTATCATGCACTGCACCGCCCAGTGCATTGCCAGGAGAAGATACATACCAGTCACAAAGTAGCTTAGTTTGACCCTTTGAATCATCATCGTTGTGGCAAGGGATGCAAGCTGCTTGGGGGACAAGTTTCAAAGTCTTGCCATTCCATCTAGCGTGTTTGGCAGGTTGTTTGGAGGGCAGACAGTGAGATTTGAAGACAAATGTTGCTTCGCAGAGTGGCGATGTCCTTTTCGTCTCTCCAACTGCCAGCCTAGGGGATTTCAGCATAATGGCCTCCGAATGGTTGTTAAGTGACCGCTATGTTGGGTGCCATTTGACAGCCATTGCTGGGGGGTGGGTCTGGAGAGCATATCTTCATCTCAGCTTCGACAAGTGTTCCAGACGCACCCGTTTGAATCTTGTTAGGAAGGTTGGGCTGGGTTCGGCTTATCTTATCAAGGCAACAGAACAGGGGTGTCCGTTTCTCCCTGTGTTGAGGAAGTTAGGTCGCTGGGTCACAAGTTCCTGGAGTTGTTATAACCCTTGAAATGTTCCACGTCTGGACAAAGTGGATGTGATGAATCCCCTCCGACAGAAACCGAGGAGAGAATGTGGGCTTCCTGCTCAAGCCCTGATTCTGGCGCTGAGAACAGAGGCGCCAGCCCCGCGGTGGCAGTCCGAAGGTTTTCTTGTTCAGACGGGCCGGGGATGGAGGGTTATGGGTTTGGTATGGTTGTCCGTTCCCTTTTTGGCTTGGGATGGTTAGTTTAAAATTCAAACCTCACCTTTTGGTTGCCATCTTAAAGTGATGTTTCTTTTGGACAATTATTGCAAATCGTATCACGCGCCCCTCAACATCCCTGTTTTGGGCCTCCCAAAGTACCTGCCAGGAAGTCGGGGAGTTTGCGAACAGTGTCACCTATCATTGGAGGGTTTTTGTCGAGTCCCTTTTCTCAGGTTGTAAGAATGGTTGTAGTTCACCCAGATGGCTTGGACCAACCCCTCCAAGCAAATGAACAACTGGTTAAATGTTTGTTGCAACATTGCAAGCGGTAGCAACGTTCCGTTTCGCATATGTGCGTTGGTGCGACTGGGTGCCCTCTCTCTATTAGCGACGGGCTTACCGTTGCCTCAGTATCCTTAACGGGTTTCCCAAGTTTGTGGGCCAATACCCCCGGTCACCAATGGCTTTGCCGTTTATTTTTTGCGCTGCCGCCCAGTGCCACCAACCCCAGATGGCTGAAGTGGAGAAACACAGACCTTCTCTTTGAAGCCGCCCAGCAGTCCTGCGGACCCACCAGCCCAGATGATGATGATGACGATGACGACGCAGATGATGAAGATGGACAAAATCCTGCATGGGCAAAATTGTTGTTCATGCAGGATCCTGCGTGGACAAAGTTGTCCAAAGCAGGACCTGGCGCAGATGATGGGATGATGATGATGATGATGATGATGATGATGATGATGATGATGATGATGAAGGATGATGAGGATGATGATGCTGGATGATGATGATGCTGGATGATGATGATGCTGGATGATGATGATGATGAGGAGGAGGAGGAGGATGATCATCACTACTCATCCCTACCATGAGATGATGCTGATGATGATGGTGATGATGACCCCAGCATCTCCAGCAGTCATGATGACAATCATGATGACGCATCCTTAGACCCGATTTGAACGGCACAATTGAGACATATATCAAACAGATAAGGACGACGATGATGATGATGATGATGATGATGAGCACGAGGAGCTGATGATGGATGATGATGAGGATGATGAGGAGCATGATGATGATGGTGATGATGATCATTACTGTACTCAGCCCCAACATCATCACTATGCACCCCCAGCATCACCAGCAGTCATCATGATGATCATGACTACGCATCCTTTGCATCTCAAGTCGGGTGTAAAGGCACACTTGAAACGTATATCAACAGATAAGGAGGACGATAATGATGATGATGATGATGATGATGATGATGATGAGCACCATGCTGATGATGATGATGATGATGACGTGAGGATGATGATTAGGATGATTGATGAGGATGATGACGATGATGGATGACAATGAGGATGAGGATGAATGATGATGATTATTATGATGATGATGACAGGCATAATGATAATCATCACGACGCATGTCCAGCATCAGCAGTCATGATGATAAACATGACTACGCATCCTTTGCATCTCAAGTCGGGTCTAACGGCACGCTTGAAACGTATATTAGAAAGACAAGGACGGCGATGTTGATGATGATGAGGATGATCATCAGATGATGATGAATCATCACTACTCACTACTGTTAAGCAGGGCTGGATATGCTGGAGACTCTGGGGATGTGTGATGATTATCATCCTGTTGGTGATTTTATGCTGACGGTGCCTACCGTGCGCCATTTTTTTTGCAGCATCACCAACACGTACATGCTTGTCAAAAAGATAGAGAGAACGAGACAAGCTACTGGCAGGATCAACCTATTTTGATGTTAACCGTGATGATGATCATGAGGATGATGATGAGCATTATGACGATGACGATGATGATGATGATGATGATGATGATGATGATGATGCTGATGCTGATGCTGATGAATCTTCGGTTATGCAGCGACCCTTCCAGTGCGCATCCCCTTTGGCAACGGGTCGGCGGATTCTGGACACATGACCAATACACAGTTTTCCTGCGAATGCATGGTTCATTTTTGGGCAAGACATGGCAAAATCCGTGTTGTTTTTCCAGGCCAGGCTACCCAAATCCAATAGTATTGTCCCGCCACGAGAAGGGGTGGTTGATTGAATCAACAACACATGAAACAAGTGAAACATCCAAAGTTTGTTATGTTTGTTATGCTTCATGCTAGGTAGGTCGAGGGAGTACATCGTGGCGAGGCCCCATGTGTCTCTTTGAAGGAAGTGTCAAGGAAAATGAGCACCTGCTTCTGGGGGTTTTGCCTTTGTGCGGCGTGCCCCAACCACTAGGGCTTGCTTGAGCCACAACTGCCTCATAGACTTGGACGCTCCAACCAGCATGTTGGGGTGTTTGTCTCATTGTGTATGATATATAAGCATGTATGATGCATAAGCATGTATGAGACAAAACCAACATATCAGCATTATATTTGGGGCTTGTGCCGTCGGGGTAGTTTTGTAGCTTTGTGATGATAGGGATCTCCCTTTGGCAACTTGATGGGAACATGAAGGCGCACATTAGAGAGGCTTTCTCCATTTCGAGGAGGTCTCCGTGTTTGCCCAAAGGGGGGGTTCAAAATGCAAGCGCATGTGATTCGTGGTTTGCAGGCACCAAATGCCTTGTTTGGTGAAACCGTGCGAACTTTAGTGGGCACACGAAACCACCCCAAAACACCCGCGACAGCTTTGGCTGCACTTGCTAAGGCTCAACCCGAGCATCCAATGACAACCTCCAAGTGCCTTGCTACTTGGAAGGCCTGGGGGGCTGAGGGTTGCAAGAGCGTGGGTTCGTCTCTTTGTTCATAGGGATCCGTAGATGAAAGCGATTGGCTGATTCAGTCAGGAAGTGCAACAGAGCGTGGCACGGCCTACTCATTATGCGATTTGTTTGGAAATCGCATCCCTGGGCAGAGTGCATGACACGACGAATGACAACTTGCATCCTGCTCAACGTTCTTTGTTTTGAAGCAGAGCGATGTGGCCCTGAGTTGTTTTGGTTTGGAGGGCCAGCTGGCAGGGTCCCCGGTCGGTCGGTCGGCCGCCTGGGTTCGTAAGTCGAACCCCAAGCATCATCCCACCCAGCCACCCACCCTAGATCAAAGGGTTTTACCTTGATTGGAGGGCCATTTTGTCTGTAGTTGTTTTGCTTTACTACGGACTGGCTATTTGGCTTGTGTGACTATTTGCAAGTTGTTCGTAGATGTTGATTGCTTTCAGAGCCTAGACTCACCCTCAACCAATCCAAACCACCACTGGGGACCTACCCTAAACCTCGACTCCTACCCTAAACCACGACTAAACCCACCCTAAACCACAAAACTATACCAACCTCAAACCCTAAAGGCGCCCTAAAGAAACCCTAAACCCACCCGAAGGCCAGCCAAAAGCCAATGCTAAACCTGCCCCAAACCATTCTGAACCACTAAAAAGTCCCTAAACCGCGCCAAACTAACCCTAAGCCTCAAAGCCGACACCAACTCCGCGCCCACCCTAAACCCACACCTCGCTAAATCAATCCCAAAAAGACCCACAGCAAACCCTATACGAACCCTAAACCACCCCGAAACATGCACTGAACCAGCGCTAACCAAGCCCAAACCAGTCTAAACCAACAGCGAACCAGCTCTACACCAGCTCTAAGAGCACTCCACACCAACCCTGATCCAACTTTACACCAACCCTAAAGTATAAAAACCCACCTGAAACCAGCCCAAAACCCAACCCTCTATCCAAATCGATGTGGATGTTGACGGTGCTGATGTAAAAGCAGTTTCATCTTGATAAACAACTACTGTAAGCAACGGCATTCTAGTGCTGGGAGACAACAACACCCGCCGACCTAGGAAAGTAAAGAACCCTCCCGCCCAAAAATATGTTTGCGTAGATGCGGCCATAAGCGTAAATATATTTGTATACTTGCAACCATATGGTATGTGTACCAGCCCGTATGAAGTTAAATGCACATTGTCACAACTTTATATATATATATATGTATATATCCGCCTCTCGCGAAGTGTTGTGACCCCGGATCGTCTATGACATTTGGCAAGGACCCATATTGGCCAACTGTCAACTGCGAAAGCCAAAAGCTGCAATGCCACACTTCTAATGTGATGTTAAGTATTAATTAAGAGACACGAGACCGTTGCAAAATCAACCAAAGAATGACTCGGAAGCACTTCGCCGAATTCAGCATCACTCAGCCATGCATTTCAGGTCTAGCAGGATGTAGGAGTTTTCATGTTGACATGAACGCGGATTACGCGAGTTGTTCCGCAGCTGCTGGTAACTGTTGATACGCCCACGGAAGCAGGTCAGCAGTGCAGCAGCTTGTTCACAGTGTTAATTTCCAAAGTGCGACGAGTGGAACTGTCAGGAGCGGCGTGCCAATCAGCCCATTTGAGTGAAGGTTGATGCAGTATGGCCCAAGGCTTCACGCTTCAGCCATGGCATGTCGTATGGAAACTCTTGCAGTTGTCCCTGAGACCCCTCTCCTTTTGTTTCCTTTGGAAGGCACGACTGCGTTCCCATAGCTGGACTGCTCCGGAATCAGCTTCGAGCCTTCGAGGTGAGATGATAGTTTTTCAGCTCTGAAGCTGCACTCCGGGCCCGGTTTCTCGGCTTCTCGGGGCGGATGGGTCGCAACCGGGAACAGAAACGTGAAAACCTCTGGCTTCTTTCTTGGGGGTCCCTTCTCTCGGGGTCTGACGACGGTCATTTTTCTCGTTGCCATTTACCAAAACGGTCCTTCGGTTTTCAGGCGTGAGCTTGGATGCCATAGGCGCACCTTACATGCTTGAAGCGTGGCTTGCGGTCAGCGCCCTTTGTATCACCCAAGGCTCCATGTAGTTAAGAAGCGAGTAGCAAGCACCAAGCACATGGACCCCCGAATTGTATAGTCCCATTTCCAGAGAAATCGATTCCATATGTGTGCAAGCTCTTTCTATTAGTTGGCTTAGTCCCCAGACTCTTTGCTTTAATTGCTGCTTACTCGCCTGAAGATCAGCATGGAACTCACAAAGGGAATCCCCATACAGGAGATTCCTTCAAATACGAGGGTGTTGGGCGCCGTGTCAATCTGCAGTATACCAAACCAACGGCCAAGTCTAAGTCTCCAGTTACTGCACCTTCCTTTGCCTTTCCAAATCGCCCACGGCCTCTGGAACCGCCCTTCGGGGTCATGAAGTCATGCATCATGCTTGCCTCCCCCCTCCAATGCTGCTAGCCGGAGTATCGTCTAGAACACCCTTCTCTTATGTGGGATACTGAAGTCGAACAAAATCGCTGCCGATAGCGTACCGGGGCTTGGCAAGCTCACCAAGCAATATACTGAGAGCCAACGAATATACCAATGGCCTTCATGGGTCCAAGACGAAATGTTGCTATGTTTGGAGGGCCTTTCATCACGAGCGAAATAATGTTTGCCCGACAATGACATGGCAACATGACACGACTACGTGCAACCAAAACAGGCACCGTGTCACGCATATGCACCCGCCTTGTCGTTGGTTGCCTATTCGCAGCTAGTACACCAAACATGCACGTGCCATCTTGAGGAATTCTCAGCTATCGCAATCGCATGGAAGCTTCGCCTATGTTCTTCTGACGGAGTTCCGGCTGGTTTCTGCTAGTGTTGAATTGTGGTGTGGGAACCCGAGCTTCAGCAAACATGCTCAGTGGCAATAGCAGCTTCCCACGGGCGGCGGACTGTCACCTTCTGCCGCCAGGAGTGCCGGTGGCTGAACAGCTACCGCATGCTTCTCAGTGAATCTTTCTTTTGGAGGATCTTTTGATGGCCACTGCGGATCGGTCACAGCCGTCGGTAGCCTAGACAAATGGCAGCTTGCGACGCAAGCTCGGCATCCCAGGGCTTGAGGCTTGAGCAATCCCCTTCAATCAAAGCCTTGCCCTCACTGACAATTCGTAGATCACCTTGGAGAAATGTGCGGCCTTGTATGAAGGGCGATGTTGGGGGAAGAGTCCCTTGACGCGCTCCGTCTCGGGCCAAGCGGGGCTGAGCCGATCGAGGGCTTTTGCATTACACGCGGGGATAGCACCGTTGGAACTGGCAATTTGCCTGACATAGCAAGATTTGGCGGTTTCATTTTGGCACTCCAAAAGGTGTAAATATTTTGCCAGCGGGAATCTCGGGGTGTAATACAGCAGCCCTTCGACACAGACTGCCTCTGGCCGGACGTTTTCACATCCACTTTCGGAGAATCTTTCGGGGATGCGGCTCGCTCGCTTCGGAGATCGGTGGTCCAAACAAGACTACCCTGCTTCAAGTTTGGACAGATTAGCAGCTTTTGTGGGTAAGGATGGCAAGGACAAGCTCAGATCGCGTTTTCGGCTACTCCACTCAAGCGCTCACATCATGGAGACTAAAAGAGCATCAGGAAGATGCTGGCATCCACGGGATATGTCAACACGAGGATTCTAAGGAAGGTTAGCGATTTCATGCAAGAGGTTCCCAGAGGTTTTCTCACAAGCCATTGCAGGAGTTGAACTTCACTGGGTTACTTCAAGGATTATGAAACGGCGACTGACTCCCGATATTGGGCAGATCTCGGAACTATCCAAGATCTAGGCTCAGTGGATCCTATGCCCCTCTTAGGTACCCAAACATGTTTTTGAAGGGTGTTCCTTTGGTTTCCTACTACAAAGGTACACGCAATGGCTGGAAGGGGTATTTGGTGGAATATGTGAATGTCCATCAGTGCCAGGGTCCAGAGATTAGTTTCTTTACTCCTCCTGTGCAACACGTCGAAACTAGCTCTACAAGCGCTGTGGCCCCAGTTTCCCAGGCAAGGCTCTCTGGTGACTTAGGGATTCTCACACAGTTTTCCGATTTGCATTTGTTTCCAAATCGGAACGTCTTAAGGTCGACTGGTTTTTTGACCTCTCTGTAAAACAACCGGCCCTGAAAAGGTACCCTCAAACAAAGCAAACCAGATGTAGCGCATTGAGCCCCTGTGACCTGCGGCGTGCGAACTGCACAATGTCTTGCTCAGCGGTGCGGATCGTGAAGGGAAGTTCCATGCTACAGCAGACATTACGCAACAACTCCATCCCACAGACACTGGAAAATGACAGGGGCTCGAGTATCTCAAACCCAATGATTCCATCCTGTAGTTTGCCAGGGACGTGGCTGAAGCTGGTGGCTTTTTGTTTTGTGCCCTTTCAGCTCCGGGCTATGTGACTATGTGGCTTTGACGAATTGGTGCTCTTGTCTCTTGGTGTGACTCCTTTGGTTTCCTTCTGGATGTGTTCCGCGCGGTTGACTCGTTGGGTTTCCCCCTTTGGTGTATTTGGTTTTCTTGGTTGGGCTGTCTCCGGTGGCTGTGTTTACCTTTGTCCATCTCCTGGGCTTCCCTGGTGTCTTTTCGAATTCTTGAAAATGTGAGCCGTCTCTTTCCCAACTTGGCAAGTGGCCATATTGCTGCATTGTGAGGCCCTCTCAGCAGGATTCAATAAGCGATGCGCGATCCCACTTTCGCACCAGCGATTCCGAGCCGCTGCCTATTGCAATGCGAGTTTTCAGATTGGCTTGGGCAATGTAGTAATCTAGCTCTTACGGTCTGTTTCATGATCCTCAGCAGGCTTTGTTATCCAGTGCCACCCAGAGTAGCCATTTGAAGCTGTTTCTAGGAGGGGGTGCTTTCCTTTAAAATCACGGGGAGGAACAGATGGCCCTGCACTCCGCCGGTAAGTTGAAGGCGATCTCAGTTGAATGATACTGTAGGTTGACCTTTTCGATCGAACGGCGTTGGTCGTAATACTTGAAGTACCATAGAAACTTGCTTGCCTCCGAAATGCAGTGGAGATTGTGGAAGTTGGAAAGCTCAAGCCCGAACCGAATGCGGCAGGCAGAGTTTGGTGACTTCAACACTGATCAGGCAACTTAGCATTGAGATGATGCCAAGTTGTTGATTGATGGGCGTAGGGCGTTCTGCAAGGTGTTCCCTTCATTGAATTATGCGTAGATATGTGTAGTCTGAATCAAAGGACAAATCATGCACTTCTGATTCCGTTGATGCAGTAAGAGTGGCTTGCCAACAGGAAGCTGGAATGATTTGCATGTGTATTTGTCGGCAGTGCGCGCAGAATGCACACAGACCAAAGCTTTTGGGGGAAGCGCGGCCTGAGGGTTGCCCTGCAAAAGCAACCCCCAGCAGAAATCAGCCTGTGGGAGTTTTGAAGCTCGTTGGGTGCAGCTTTCCAGCCGCATATTCGCGAATGCTTGGCGTAAGATCTGCTAAAGTTTCGCGAAAGATGAACCTCCCCGCCAGTTTTCTTTCGGACATGGGCGGCCAACGGGTCCCCCCGCGTGCTGCTGCACGCCTTGTGAGCCGGAGCTGCGGAAGCGCACGTACTACTTTGGAGCTGAAAGGTTGCGGCTTTCGAGCTGGGGCTCCGGATGTTTACTTCGCGCGTTACTTTACGTCCTGTTAAAAAGTTCTTGTGTACTGCTTTCGTATTGCAGAGCGGCTTGCGATACAGGGCTGAAAAAGTTTACTTTGTGCAACTACTTTTGTCTTGAAGAGTTGCGACTTTCGAGCTGGGGCTGCAGATGTTTACTTAGTGCACTTCTTTCGTATTGAAAAGTTGCGACTTTCGAGCCGCGGAAGTGTACTTCGTGTACCACTTTTCTGATGAGCGTTGTGAAAACTGGGGTTCGCGAAAGTTGATTTCTTGTCCGCGAAGATGGCGGCTTCTGGAGCAAGGAATTTCAGACCACCGCCAAGTAGGGATTATGATTATCTCACACATGTACAGAATTATGAAAGCCTTGCTTCGGGCATTTTGGGCTTGAGCTTTCTTGCTGGTCCCGCCGGTCCTGCCCGATGCTCAACTCCAGCAGGCAACGCAACTTGGGCAGGGCGTTTGCCGGTCTAGCGTCGTTCTTTGATAGTAGCAAGTTTGAACCAAAGCTGCAGCGCAACGGTCTGTGTACCAGAACCGGCCCAACTGCACTATTCACTGGGGGCAATCCTGAAATTTCAAGATAGGGTGAATTCTGATTCGTGGCTAGTGCCTTGGGACGTTCGCGACTCAATTTGCGTGGCACAGCTGACAGCAATGGCGGTCAACGTGTGGGCTCACATACGCTTGGTTCATTGAAGGATCCTTCATGGGAAGCTCCATTCGTCGCAGGGCTGACTGCCCCCGCCAAAAAGAGTGCGGCCAGGGGCTTGTCATGAGTAGTGTTTTGGCTGAATGCGCTGAGCCAGCCAGCCGATGCGGCGCAAGCCAAGGAGCACGTTCCTGTATGCTTCGGGCTTATCCAGGTCCCTGTCTGTCCTTGAGTGCCCGATTCACAGCTTCCTTGCGCTTGGTTTTTTTGGTACAGCTCTGCTGTCCATCGACTGCTGGAGAAACACAAGAAGAGGGACAGACAACTTCTTTGCAAGGCCAGAAAACGGTTGAACAGCTTGTTTCTCCTTTTTGTCACGATTTGTCGGACTATTCCGGGATAGATTTCTGATGTGGCCTCGATGTCGTGGCTAGACATGCGGTCACGTCAGATTGCTGGACTAGGGAATGACATGGGGAACTCACCACTTTGTCTATGCTCTTGCGGAAACCGTGGCTGC